AGTAACAGTGAAATCTATCACAACTATGATCAATCATATGACCAACTAAAGTTTTACGACGGCAATAATCCACTTTGTGTTTTTTCGGATTCTGCACAAAAATGAAACAACGCTAAAATATAAATAAAACAATAAATAAATAAGTACTGAGCCGCCAGTCCCCTTTCATCAAGGATCAAATAAATAATAAATCATAAAACTAAAATCTAGAAAGTTTGGATGCAGACTCCAACTTCACCTGTTTCAAGCCCGCACCAAAAATAACTGGAGACTGTGGAATGGTTTCGGTAAAACTTAGCCACCTGCCCTTCAACGTATCGCCATAATCCAACATTATACCGGCTCGGTCGTCGTCCGGGATACCAAGGTTCATGCAAGCTCTTAGACGACTGAGACAGGCCACAAAATGTCGGTGATCAGAATCTTTTCGCCGCCTTCTTGCAGCCTGGGCGTAGCAGCACAACAACGGCTAACAAAGATGACAGAACGACGATGAATATACAAAGCAGCAACGGAGTCGTTACCCGTTCTGAATGGAGGAGGCAGACAGCGCGATTCCATTAAAGCACGTCAGAAAAGGCTCCACAAGAACGACACCGCCTGTGGGAGGTTACAGTGGGAAAGTGGAATACATCCTCACTCAGAAGGAAACAGCAAGAGTTGATGAGGAAATAAATTACCAATTCGACAGCGTTCGACTATCGTCAACAAAATGCGGAGGATCTGGAATTCTAAACCTCCGCAGGTGGCTATTCTATTCAAGCCGATATTATTCTTCTGGCAGTACCCATGCTGGTGGACAGAATCACTGAACGGAAGCTTATCAGCGGAAGAATGACAATAGTTCGACAGAAGCTACAACATGAAAAGCGCCGACCTTGCTACAGATCTGTGCGCCCAATTTGGAGGTAGAATACCACTCCTTCCTTGAGGAAGGGGAGTGTGCGCTGTACGAAGTGCCGAATATGGAGTCTACCGCTTTCTGGTTCTCCTGCCCGTTGCTCTCTTCAGATTAACGTAGAGACAGTGGAGCAGGTGGAGAAGTTCAACTACCTCGGAACTGTATTTACTAGTGATGGAAAATTGGAGGAAGAGGTCCACCGGCGAAGTGGAGTAGCCAGTGGCGTTCTGCATGAATTAGCCCGACCCATTGTGACTAAAGCAGAGTTTAGTCTGAAAACTAGTCTCTCGATATTCAAGTCGATCTTTATCCCCATACTTACCTACGGTCATGAATCGTGGATTATCACTGAAAAATTTAGAACCCGAAATACAAGCTGCTGAAATGGGCTTTTTAAGACGAGTCGCTGGCCTTACGCGTCTCGACATGGTCCGGAATAGTGACATCCGGAAGAGCCTTGGAATACAGCCTTAAAGTCACAGCTGCGATGGCTTGGGCATGTGTTGCGAATGCGTCCAGAAAAAAAGGCTAAGCAACTGTTTCTTGCCCAGCCGACAGGCACAAAGCAGGGAAAGGCCAACATTTACCTGATGCAAATATATGGATGCAGTCTGCTCCAGACAACGGTTGCCTTGTGTGGAAGCTCAGATTCAAGTACAGGATCGCAAACGTTGGAAGCAGTGTCGGACGCATCTGCCTCCATGACCCGAAATGAGAAACGATTATGGAGAGTGAAGTGAAGTAAAGAATGCAGACTCCATCCAGAAGCGAACCGAAGAAAGTTTGTTAAAACACAAAGATTAATGTAAAAGCTTATGATACTAAAGCTTTTCGATACCAAAACTAACTTTTTGTTTGCTGTATGAGAGGATCATATCGGCGAAGATGAAATGCACTATGCTCTCAAAAATGTAACTAGAACCAGATGCAAGTTTTACACTCGTTAAAGAAATAAAATAAAAGTTTCTAGTCGTTATAATTTCGACCTTGCAGGTTCATGATTGGGCAGTTTCTGTAATCCCTCTTTTCAAGAAAATAATTGTGGGGCAACTAACCTCCATTACAATGCCAACGGCCGGCAATGCATTTTTTTAAAGGCAAAACCGACGGAGGGCACTGGCAAGAATAGTACTGTAACCTGTTTCTTTCCACACAGCAATATTCATTTATCAACGTTGGAAGGAAGAAAGGCGAGAGACCTGATAGGTAGTCGAACCCGGAAACCGTCAGTTCTGAAAGAGACGCTCTATCGACTGTGCAACTCAAGTCTACTCGCTACAACGGGTGCACTGTTTGCAAAACAGCCTCCAAAGACGTACACGAGCCTGTGAGAGCACATACCAAAAGACAGCTGCACGTTGATAGAGGTTTACCTTAGCGTCGATGTAACCACTTAGTAGCAGTCCACTGATGGCAATCAAAAGACTGCCAAGCACGAACA